GCCCCGGCCCCCTGGCCGGGTAAATACAAAGCAAACGGCACGCAGGCCGTGGAAAGAATACATAAAGCTTAAGAAGGGGGCAGTTCAGTATTAGCAGCTGCCGCCTGGTCAGCACTCTTCTTGATGGACTCGGCTTCAGCTGCATCCTTTTTTGATGCCTTACCCCCAAGCGGCACAAGCGCCACTACCGGCTCCTCCTCCTCCTCCTCCAACTCTTCCCCCAACGCCTCTTCTTCAGCAGCCGCCAGGATCTGTTGATTATATGCATCCGAGCACTGGCGGTACGTTCTTTCCCAAGAGGCAAAGTCGGCACTGGGGAAGAGGCGGCCCCAGGTCATGCGCTAGATTTGAGCGGAGTCTTCCATCATCTCCCGGACCAGCTCTTTCTTCTCTTGCTCGGCCTTTTCCGAGATCTCTTGGGTAAGACTCTTCTCCTGGGTCACCAGGCGTTCCTTTACGTTGGCCAAGGATTTCTCCATGGCTTCGTAAGAGTACATTTTCAGGCGAAGAGGTTTCAGCTCGGCCTTGAGATTTGTGATGGTCGCCTCCAGCTCGTCATTCTTCTTCTAGGCCGCCTCTAACTGAGCCCGAACAGCGGCGGTAGCCTGCGCCTGATAATAAAGAATATCAATGGTCAGTACTTCATTTTGGGCAATTTGAAACATTGCCTTATCACAGTCAGAGGCGGCCATAGCTTTTGCAGCCTTTACCTCTTTGTTTTTCCGATCAAGCGGCTTGCGAAGGCCGTTAACTCGGAGCAGGGCCTAAGTACAAAAAAAAAACAGGCGTCAGTTTCCAAACAAAAAAGAAAACAGGCGTCCAGAAATTTAAATACTCAAAAATATGCTAAGTATACCTCAGCAAGGACCCCTGCAATCCCGTCAAGGTCAAGGGTGCCGACACCCCTGACCGCCTCCCTTTCAGCTGGAGGAACTGCCCTGATCATAGACTTGGCCATCTCTACCAAGTCAGGCTCCTGGGGGCCGGCTACATCAAGCATAAACAAACGGTTTAGACTTAGTAACAAAGGGAGCAAGTCTAAAATTTACAAGGACAACTTCATACCTCTAGGCGTCCTAGTTGGAGTTTTAGAAGAAGTGGCCGGCTGTTTCTCAGCCGCCACCTGTTTCCTGGCAGAACCAGGAGAGCTCCCAACAGTCGTCTTCCGGGCCTTGGGGTCCGGCTGTTGGGAAGATGAAGCTCTTGGAGCACCCGTCTAAAAAAAAAAATAAGAAGAGAAAAGTCAGTATATGCATAAACACTCCAAAAAGAGGGTGAAAGGTTCGGAGCTCACCAAGGGTGCCCCCTTCTTGGGGGAGTCGGTTGAAGCTTGTTGCATAATAGAGGCCCGCAACATGGCCGCCGCAGTCTTGGAGGCGGTGATTTTGCTCATGGCGTCAGCTGCAAAAACAAACAGCAAAGTTAATAAAAGATAAACAACAAATGTATGAAACAACAGAGTATTCGACAAGCCGACTACCTCTTGAGCACCGACTGCTGAGGCCGCAGGCGGCCAAAAAGTACTCGTCATAGAGCCACTTGAAGCTCGGGACGCAGTGCAGGGGTACTTGTTCTCGTACCCCTGAAGTAGAGTCGACCCTCGACTCTACTTTAAAGAGTCCTTTATCAAGGATCTCTTTCTTAGCCTTGGGGGGAACAGGCGGCATGCTACGGCCGCCTGCAAGAAGGGGCGGATTCCTGTTCCACCTATTGAAGCGTTTGTTCTGCTCAATGTCAGAACTCTCAATGATGAGGAAGGTGCTCCGCCAGTCCTTCCACTTGTTTGCTTTACCTCTCGTCATGAGGTAGCCCCTGTGGCTTGTCAATTGATACCAGCCGGTACCGCCTGTCTTAGGGGTCCGGCTGAGATAGTTCATATGGGCGAAAGCCTCGAAGCTCGGCTCCACCCCGTGCAGTTCACACCCGGCCACATAGCCGAGCACGTTGACCCAAGAGTTTGGGGCTAACTGCCATAACCCCAACTCATACCCATCCAAAATCCGCTGAACAGCCGGATGTAATGGGAAACGAAGCCCTGCCTTAATGGCCGCCTCGTAGCAGCCAAAGCAGGAGCTTTCATAACTTGAACCAGCCGTCCAGACGACTGTGTCTTCTGGATCCGGCACAAACACTAGAAAGTCGGGGCCCATGGTGTGGTTTGCAATAAAGCTCTCCACCTTCTCTTGCATGGCTGTGATTCGGCCCCGAGGTACCGTGCAGTAGTAGGGGGTGTTTAGCTCTCGGTAAGAGGCGGATGGTTCCGCCCAATTGTCCCCCTTCTCAACTGCGTGAGAAAGTCTCGCCTCTTGCAGGCGGCTGTTTTTCTCTTCTGTACCCAAAGAAGCCTGGCCAGAAGAACTTGACTCGGAATCGTCCTCCGACGAGTCTGAAGAGAACGACTCCTCCCCTCTCCCGGAGGGGCCCGCCTCCTCTCTTTGAAAAGGAGCAGATTTGTTAACTGTTAAATTGGAAGGGGTCACTATGACTCCCCCCACAGAATTGCCGGCATCCAGGCCGCCTTGTCTCACTTCCACATCTGGCGCCTGGTCAGATGTTTCACTAATCGGCACCCTGTGGGAGGAGCCGTCTGAATTTGAGATCCTAGCTGTCTTTTTCGTTCTGGCCATCCTGCTCTGCATAGACACAGAGACAGTCGGACTTTGTATAAAGGGCAAAGATGGGTCCGGAAAAGGGCAGGCGGCACTCCTAGTCCTAGATTCAGCCGTCCCCGGTGACCGGCTGATCACTAACCTAGGTCGTGTCGTGTGCTTCCGTGGTGCCATTTCAGAAAATAAAAAGAAAATTAAGAGTAAGAGAACTGAGTTACCTGAACGAGTGACGGTTGATGAAGTTCTGAAAATCCTGTGCAGTCGGCTTGTCAGAACAGGCGGTAGGCAGAAAAAGTCCAAAATGTCAGAGCAAGTTCAGGGGTCCGAATGTTCTCAAATAGTTCTCAAAGTGTGAAAATGACTCAAGGCAACTCTCCCTTATATAGGCGAAGTGAGAAGGCGAAGGGTCACTTTCAGAATTCAAAATTTGGGCGGGAAAATCTCTCGTCCTTTCGCCGACTGACACCTGTAGCAGGTCGTCGCCCGTTACTGTGCGACACCTGTCACAGGTAACACGTGACCAGTCACGTGCCACCTGTGAGGGGCAAATGATTAGGGGATTTTGCTCCTACCAATCGGAATGCGCCACGTGGACCAATCAGGTCCTGCCAAGTGTCCCCTGGTTGGAACTGTCAGGGCTTGCCACGTGGCACGCGCTTATTCGTCCACCTTGGACCTGTTATGTCACGACATGTGGCATACTCCATGCCTAATGGAGAAACCGGCCACCCAGGCCCAATTTCCGAGGGAAGCCCAATCGGCCCTAGGTTTACCTAAACCTAGGATGGACACGTTTCCCAAGGTTATAAATACCTCCCTTAATCCTCATTAAGGGGGATTACAAGAAGATTACGAAAAACATTACGGAACAAACACATTAATTACACACAGTAATAACCGGCTGATCTCGCTAGCAAAGCAGATTACCTACATTAAACACTCTCACCTAGAGAGATCTTATTACTTTAATTTCCGCATTAATTACTCCTTAATCAGGTACTAACTTGACCGTTGGAGGCGGAGCTCACAGGAGTCTCCGTTATTTTGCAGGTACAGGCGTCCGGTTCCAGTCTCGGAATTGTAACTCTCCCGCAGGACATCAGAAAACCCCGAAACAACTTGCACAAACATCAAAATCAATAGTAATAAAATACAAAAAAAAAAAAAAAAAAAAAAAAAATTATAAAAAAAAAAAAAAGTTGGCATCTTTTACCAAAATGCCATGGTTGTATGAAATACATACCAGGTAGACAATAATACTGAATGTCCATTGTACTAACTCGCAATTGCACCTTTTTAATGAACCATTGTAGTAGTGATAACTAAGAGATGTCCCCCAAGGCCACCTAGCTGCAGAGAATGGAAGCTTTCAACAAGCACATGAACAAAAAAACAATGCCGAACAGCAATTTGGATGGGAACAGTATACAGCATTTAAAAATTAAGGGAATTATAATATAACCCCCAACAACTACGGTGATATATTACTTGTAGTTTGGGATGAATGTACAACATCTTAAAGCTAAAAAGGGAATAAAAGTACAAAAACGTAAAACAGTAAATCAATCTAAACGCCCATCAATAGTGACTTAGTTGCATATGCACTCTGCAAAAAAAGCTATTACCCACAAAATGCGAGTACAGGAAATTACATGGGAACTGGATTAAGTCCCGTGCCATGCACGATCATAATTAAACTTAATTTTACAACAAATAATTTATAATTAATGGTGTTAATTCAACAATAAATTATCCAAAAATATTATTTGTAACAAAATAACTTGAATTTTAGTTTATACCAATACCAAATATATAAAGGTAATTAAATTGGATTGTATTAAAAAAAATAAAAATAGTAATAGAAATTTAGAAGCTATAAGGTAATTTTATATAAGAAAATTAAAATATTAGCTTAAGTTAGTACCCATATACAAACTCATATACATTTATCCTTAAATTGTTGACACACTTTGACTGGCATAATATGAAAATTTGATTGATTTTATTTTACTTTAAGATAATTAGTATTCCATAATCAACTTTTTAAATATATTTTTAGCGAGTAGTTGAGGTTTTTTTTTTAAATAATCACATACATATTTAGAGTAATTAGATTTAATTTTCCAATATATATTATGTATAGTATAATAAAATGATTTTGTTCTTATAAACGTTATGTAATTTTAAGATTTATACAAAGTATGCTACCAAAATGATTTTTCTTTTTTAATTAAAATAAATTTTATTGTCAAATAAAAGTTTGAGAATATAATTGATATTGATAATACTATAATAATCTTGTGATATAATATATTACAATACCTTATTTTTAATCTATGTTATTTATGTTAGTATATTTGTAACTAAAAGTTTCCTAGTATATAAAATATATGTACAAAAAAATTGAGTATAATTCGATTAAAATATATGTTGACAAAATAGAAATAACTATTATTGTAGGTCATTTAAAAAAAAAAAAAAAAAAAAAAAAAGGAAAATTTTTAACTAGGAAATGACAAGTGTCATTACGGAATATAGTTATGGATGCAATATCCGATGATCCTTAACCATCTTGCTTCTCTACCTCCTCGTCATCCTCGTCATCATCTTCATCCTCATCCCCATCTCTATCATCATATATGCTAGGCGATGTGAATTTGTTTAGTTCACTTCTTGAATCTTCATTATCCAGGTAGTGAAAACCAAATTGTGTGTCTCGATGTTTTACAAGGAGCCATCGTAGTAGCCGGTCTTCTTTGTTCAAGTAATGAAGCTCCTTGTTTATATTGGGCGTTGCCATCATGGTCATTTGCATAAGATTTCCCTACACAAATAAAACAGAGATTTCACATGTCGGTAAATGGCAAGACTTATTATCCTTGTCTACAGGGAAGGCCAAATTCCCTGCTAGCACAAGCTAGAAGCCTAGAACACATCTAAACATAGTATGATTTCACAAAATGGATCAAAATAAAATAAATCTAAGCTGGATGCTGGGCAGAAAATCAGCGCATGAACAAACAGTCCAAATGAAGTCATACCAGAGAAAAAACCTCATTCTGAGAACAGCAGGGTTTATATAACTTGAACTAACTAAGAAATCATATTTACTTCAACAAAACTCCACTAGTGTTATTAAAAAGACAATAAAAGAAAAGAAAAGAAAAAAAAAAGAAAAAATAAAAAATAAAAAAAAAGGAAAACCCTAGTTAATTTACCTTAATAAACCATCAAACTAGTACATCAACCAAAAAATTCCCCCAAACACCAACCTTGGTGGGAAGTGAGTGTTCCTGAGTTTGGTACATTCTCCACAATTTCCCCCCCCCCCCTCTTCCCCTGCTTTAAAAATTTCTCCCACATCGCAAGGGATGTTTGTCATGGCTTTGAGAAATAAAAATATATGTATAATCAAAATTCTATATGTACATTAATAGTAGTCCCTAGATATTTATCCCATACTCTTCACAAAAGCCTCACAAAAGCCACCCTCTAATTGAATCACAGGGTGTGACAGACCAACTATCTGTCAGTGTCTGCAACTCTGTAAGGTCCAAAATACCAGTGTAAATGCTCAAGTAAATCAACCAAGTAATATTAAAAGGTTACAGAACTGTAGTATCCAAATGGATTTATGCTCCCATATGATAAGAAAAGAAAGTCCATAACCTGAAAATGAAGGGACTAGATGACCCTTAAGTCTGACATCTCTCCCTTTATTCATCATCTACCCAAAACATACATCCCCCATACTTGTTTCTAAACCTTCAATAGATTCCTCTCAGTGTTTAAAACCGGGTGCTGAGGTTTTAGCGAAGCGAATTCAATGAAGAGCACCCTAGGCACATTCCCTGAGGCGCACACCATTTTCTTTCTCAAAATCTTTTACTGTTTATTAGGAGTGAGACACACACTGAGACTTGCCCAAGGCACAAGAACTCCAAATCACCTTGTTTGCCTTGAGTTTTATGAATTGGTTCTCCAATTTGACTTCATATATTTCTTAGTATGAAACTAACATAACTATTTGACTCATAAAGCTCAATATCATCACTAATACTTAATGCAGGTATTCTGGTTGATACCATTATGTCAAATAAAGCAAGCATTGTTTGAAACAGCAATTCATAAACCTTTGTTGGCTAATGAGCTTAAGCAATAGGGCCTCTAACCTTAGTTGCCTAATGAGCTTAAGCAATGGAGTAAGCATGATAGGCAAGTGGGTAATTCTGTCAAAGTGAGGTGTATGAATAGTGCAATAAGTCGATCTGATTAGGTTTCTGGGTCTGATGTAAATTTAAGAAGATAAGGACTAGATTTTACTAACTCTGTTCAGAGTCCACTACATCTTATTAGCCATCTAGAAACATCTACTAACCATGCAAAACGTTTGCAACACAAGTACTATAGCCCACTTGCCTATCATGCTTACTCCATTGAGCCTTAAATCTTGCAAAAATGTTTGATTAATGATAAAAATAATTTCGATGACCCAGATCATGTTGGGGCTAAGGCTTGTTTTATTGTTATGTGCTTCAAGAAACATCTTGATATGCCTAATCAACTCATTTTAATGATGATATTGAGTTTATGGACAGATCAAGAATCCATATAAAGCTATTCTAAATTTCTAATAGCCACATGACCTTACCTTAGAAGAGCAAACTGCAAAATGGGCTCAGCTTCTTCCTAAAATGAATTGTAATAATTCAATACATCTCCAATTCAACTAAATTGACTTTAATATGCTTGTTAGACCAAATGCATTTGATGCTGTCAAATTATACTTGACTATGATCGATTGAACTCCTGAACTGCTGGCCAACAGAATCTTTCAAATTACGTTTCTTGTACATCAGCTTAACGGTTAGATTAAGCTAATTGTATTTTTTTTCCTCGAGTCTCTATCTTTCTCTCCTTTTAAACCAAATTGCTACCCTTAAAAGCTGATGCATAGCTTCTAGCCTTCAATAACCTTCTCCTTGGCCATTGATGCCCACTTGCATGATATATGTAGCTATAAAACCGTCAAGGACAAAATTAATGTCTTTCCTACAATGGAAATGCTGATAAAGACTGAGTTGTGATACATTAATTTTATGTGAACTTCATATCTGAAGTAGAACTTTGATAATGGATTCGAATTACTTTTGTGGTTTTTTTAGGGCAAGCAGGTAGCATAAAGCTAATTCCTAATAGGAAAAATAAAAGGGCATTTTAGGGTCTAATATAAGGGCCTAAAGGCTTAAAATTGTAACAGCTGTGACTTGAATGAAGAATTGAGAGCGTTTTGGCTTGAATTTGTTTTTAGGGGCCGTTTGGTTCGCTGTAATGGGGAAAGGGAATGGGAATGATTCCCTTTGTAAGCGTTTTTTTTGCTACTTTTGTCATTCCCTTTCTCCTTTTTTATTTTTGGGTTTACCCATTTTTATTCCACCCCCATTCCCCACCCCCCCCCCCTACCTTTACCATTCCCTTTCCCCAACTACCACCATACCCACATCCCACCAACCTCACCGGATGGTCGCCGGCAATCCCTGACCTTGGCTCCACCTTCACCAGCGATCACCTTCACTGGGGCTAATAGCACCTCGCCGGAACTCGCTGCCCCTCGCCGGATGCTGGCCGACCCTCGCCGACCCTCGCTACCCTTCGCCTACTTCTCTTGGTTGCTTTGCAATCTTCACCACGCAACCATCATCATTATCACAAAAAAACGACAGTTGGATTAATTGAATTAATCAAAATCATCCAATTTCATTAATTCCAAGCAATCTAAACTCGTGAAATGGAGCCACCACTCTACCCATTGGAGTTTGATTTGAGATAATTTGCGTGAAGGTGGCTGGTGGGCGGTGTGAAGGCTGTTGTGGTTGCGCGCGGGGCTGGGATTGGTGGTGGGTGGTGAGGTTGCTGTTTTGTGGGCGATGAACGGTGCTGGTGTTGACGGTGAGGTGGTGGAGAAGCGAGGTAATTGCTACAGTTCGTGGAGGTCTAGGGGTGAGGTGCGGCGGTGGGGTGGCTGGAGAAGGTGGAAAAAATGAAGGACGAGTGTTGTGGTGGTGATGTCGTGGTGCAATGGTGGTGTGATTCCCTAACTTTTTTTTTGTAAACAAACATGCTTAATTTTGAGGGTTTCATTCCATTCTCCTCCATTCCCTTTCTGCATTCCATTCCGATTCCCCTCTGCGAACCAAACGGCCCCTTAATGTATTGTCATCACTATCACCTCCAACCCCCCCCCCCCTCTCTCTCTCTCTCTCTCTCCCCCCAGATGAAAGCTAAAACATGTAGCTAAAACATTTATTGATAATAGCAGAGCAATTTTAAAGACGTCAGAATCTTCAACAACAAAGATGGCTTCCCAAATAATCTTATTATTGGAGTAGTATTATTGCAAATCTGGGGAAGTTAAACAGAAAATATTCATCACCGAGGAACATAAACCAAGCACAGAACTGTCCAGTGATATGCCTAACAAGAATCTTTGTACCAAACAGTCAATTCCTTCCACACTATCCACAGCACATGTAACTCATTGCTAGTAAAGGAGGTATGTGCTCTGCCAGCAACAAATGACATTCCTATTCAAATTCTAGTGATAAAGATAACAAACTGCAAAAAGTCTGCTCATTTAGGTCCCAGAATACAGATATAGATACACACTATATCATAAATTCTAGGTCGCCCATATATATAAATTCTAGGTCAACCCAAAAGTCCAAACAAGAATTGGTAGATATTAACACATGGAACTTTTGACCCTCAGTTCTATGAGTTATGACAGAAGATTTCTACATTCTACCCAAAACGCAACTGTCTCAGATTGAATCATCTTCTTAGCCCCAACAAGTAAACGATAAATCGGTGATTTGAAAGCTGAGAAGTGGGTAGGTGTTCCTAAACAATAGACATAGCAAATAGCCATAATCAAAGCTTGAGACAATGTGATCACTTCAGCAAAAACTTATACTTAAAATCATAACCACATACTTCAGATTTCTACAAAAAAATAGAAAGATAAAGGAAGGTCTATGCTACTACCTTATAGTATCTTCCATCAAGCTTCTTTATACCATACCCCAGATGAACAGTTCCAAAGTTCTTTATCTCTGTAAGCACACCATTTCGTGCATAAACATGTTTCCCCACCCTAGCAACCAAATCCATCAAGGAATCCCGCGGCACATGGGGTTTCAGTAATAGCACACAGTCATAAAGTGGCATCTTTAATTACTTGATTTGCTTGTCCTGCACTCCTACCCTCACTACCGAGATCGTTCTAATCTGCACAAGAATATATTAACATTTTAGATCAATTGTAATCAACACAAACTTTTAACTATACATTTAATACAATATCATCATTCTTTGACATCTTCCACTCTCCTTGTATACCATGAGTCTTTCTTTAAAAAAATTATTTCCTCCGTTTCTATTTAGATGATATGTTCAATTTAGGCACACACTTTAAGGAAAGGAGAGAGAATGTTAAATCAAATGGGTAGACCATGTGCTTTAGCTTATTTAATCAAGTTTGTAGTGGGGTCAACTTAAAAAAAAAATCCCAAAAAGGAATACATGTCAACTAAAAAAAAATTCCCAAAAAGGAATGTGTCAATGGCGGATCTTGGATTTTATGGGTGATGTAGCCGACCCCACTTATGGGATTAAGGCTTTGATTGATTGATTGATAGTCACTGTCACCCATCGACCGCATTCCAAGCAATAATTAATGCATGAATATTCATAAAGCTAATAATTCAAAAAAAAAATCACTCATAGTGAACGTCTGAGCACTCAAAATATACAAGTGCAAGGCAAAATAAAAACTTTACTACCACAATAGATATCATTTTTGCTTGAAAAAATAACATGGAATCTGCATTAAATCATAGCTCCACCATAACTTAAACAACTTATTTTTATGGCCTTTCATTGAGGACTAATGCTTGGATTGACAAGAGTAGCTGCAATAATTTTCCAATGATTTCGAGTTAATATCAACATTCCAATCTCCAAGCCTTTCGTTAAATTAGAGCTAACAATCTAAATTACAACACTTTAACACACCAAAAACATTGTTTAGTAAGTAGTACAGTACTTTAACACACTAAAAAAAACCACAAAAGTATGAACATTGGCATATTAATTGATAGTGACCTCATTCTAAACTAACTGACCATTAAACAGAGCATTTCTCACACTTTTTCCCCAACCAAGTATTCAGCAAAATAACACAACCCAGCCATTATTATACAAATTCGGGTTGATCCGATACCAAAATAAGTCAAACAATTCAACATTCACCATTTTTAGTTAAATTCAACAATTCACAATTTGGCAAACAATTAATGGCCATTATGATATCAATTTCTAACTAAAAAAATTAGAAATGCCAGATAAAACAACTTCCCATGAATTTTAAACCCTAATTGTATAGAATATACAACAAATCATCAATTTCAAGCAACACCTACACTAATTTGATAAATTAAATAACAAAAACAACTAATTTAAGCACAAAATCAACCCAACAACTCATGGAGAATAAGAAATTGAAACTTTAAATTCAATATTTAAAAATGAAAATGAGTTGCCTGAATTATAAAATTGAAAGGTGCGGCTATTCGGTCAGAAACTCGGACAGACTGCAGTGGTCCAGTAATCCGGTGCGCAGCGGCTGGCAGGGCGGCACGTCAGAACGAAAGAGGGGCTGGATGGCAGTACTTGATTTTTCGAAGAGAGAAGAAGAGAGGATCGTTGTTTCTTGTTTGTGTGTTGTCCCGTGAAACTAAGGAGCAAAAGAGACTTTTTTTTTAATTTAAACTTTTGTTTTTTTGCTGTGTCAAGTGACCGGTGCACAAAGGTGCTTCTGCCACTGATATGTGTCAACAAAAAAAAAATGGAGGTAGTAATACTTAGGCGGTTAGGCTATGTTCTCCTCACCTTAAAAAAAATACTCTGTAATATTCAATAAAAAAAAAAGTGCATTAAAAAAGTTTTATAAAAATAAGTTAAGTTCAGCAAAAAAAAAAATGTTTTAAATGGTACAAATCAGTAATTTCAAAGATCAAATCATTTAAATCTATAAAATAAGTTTAATCAATATCAATAAGTTAAATTCACTAAAAACAATTTAAGTTTAGCAAAAATAATTTAAGTTGAGGAAAAAAAATTTAATTTCAATAAAAATGATTAAAGTTCAACAAAAAAGCAGAGTCTTAAATAATACTCCATTTTTGAAATTATTATTATTTTATTTTTATTTTTTTGAAGAGATTATTATTCTCATTACTTATAATTATTAAAAAAAAACACTTCTCAAATCTTTAATAAAGATTCATAACAAAATTTCCCAGTTTCCAATACCATGGAACCTACAAAAATTTCAATCATATAGGAAGCAAAAAGAGGTACAAAATTCAATTCCAAATATAGCCACAAAACAGAACTGCAAATAAGAGAAGAAAAGACATAACATAATTAGGACTTGGGAACAAGAATCATGACAAAATCAGCTAATGCAGCAAACTGAAATTAAAATTCCATGGGACCTAGGCACTTTGGAATAAGGATTTGGTATTGTCGTTGTAGTTGGGATCTAGGCATCTAGCGAAGCAATACTCCTTCCAGACTATGCTTTCTTTCAGGCCTCTTGAGATTCAATAATTATTCTTTAGATCGAGATGGGCACAACTGCACTAGGAGCCCAAGAAGCTCACACCTAGTATCAGCTCATGAGCTCCCAGGCATGAATATTTGAGGCGCAACTAGGGGTCGTCACATCAATTTCGCAGGAACCCCTAGTATAGAAAGCCATCTCAAGCAGGAGTCAAGCATGTGTCACTTGAATGTAGACACTGAATATCCTCGATTTTATCGTAATAGAGACAAAAGAACACAAAAGTATGCTATAAAACGGTCAAAAACAGATAACATATTAGCCTAGTTGGTGTTACTAAGGGCTAGTTATGTTCACCTTAATTTCACTTATTTCAAAACTAATAAGTTCATTTAAGTTCAAATAAGTTTAGTTCACATCAAATAAGTTCAGTTAAGGAAAAATGAGTGTTGATAAGGGTTACCCAAGTTCAAATTACAACTAAAATATGTTTTAATAAGTTCAGGTAATATAAGATATGTTCTAATAAGTGAAAATTAGGTGTATAAGCACACCTTAAAAGCCCATGTTGACTTAATACACAAAGAAGCTAAAAGTGTTATGCTATCCCATAACAAATCAGTTAACCAACTTGTGAGATGATTGCATTCCGTATTAATGCACCACAAGATCACCTTAAGAGCATTACACCACAATATAATTTTTACCTTTGCCCTTCCAAAGCCCACAAAGTGAGCTTGAAGGAGAAGTTGTAGCAAATGCAAAACAGTATAAGGATAAGGAAAATTTACTTGTCGCCTCACAGATAAGAAAGAGAAGAGAGCAAGATTCACTATTGGCAAGATGCGCATAGTTGATGAAATAGCTATCTTTGGTCTTCTCCTTTATACCATATCAGTAGTAGTATTGATTCTGCACAACCCCAAGGTCCACACAAAAACTCAAATAGTCTCATCTTTATAGAATTCTAGTCTTCCAAATATATTGTGAATTGGGAAATGGGGCTCCTCATTGGCAAAGATAGACAAACCAAAAATGACTTCCAAGAGTAAGTGCCCGTTGGATCCCCCATCCACCTCCTAGATACCTCTACTTCCAATAATAATGGTGGTAGAACCTTAAAAAACAAGGTGAGTTCACCGATTTCTCTATCATGAACATATCCTGATTGTATTCCACTATTCTCTTCACATTAGTAGTCTCATAAAAGTACATTAACTTGTGGTCATCCAACACAATAATAAAGCCTCCTACAGAACGCACAAATAACACTCATCAAAATTAACAAAACTAAATTTCATTTCCAATGTCACAGCATCAAGAAATTGTTATTCCACAATGGATGATATAGATTTCGATCAAGATGAAGCTTTTTGAAATGCTCTTTAGACTGAAATGATCTGTTTCAGTTAAGGCAAACTCCAAATCATGCTTCACTAAGATATTGAAGATTAGGCTCTAAAGTTCCTTTCCAACTCTTAACATTAATAAAAAGAAAGTACTTGCATTTAATTCAAGCAGAAAAAGGTACTCCTAGAACATAATAGAACTAGAACTAATAATTACATACCCCTGAACATGCAAACTACTTGAATATCAGTTGATTCCACACTTAACTTTAGCTGAAATGAATACCCAAGTACTCTTATAGCAATGTGTAAGATAACTACCTGAATATTGAAACTTAAAGCAATTTGGATTTTGGAAGCGTGAATAGACGTTAACATACTAGGTAAAATAATAACTAGATAAAGCCAACACTACTGAATAACATACGTTGGAAACAATATCCAAACATATTATATGAGCTAATTAATCTGCAGCACTAGCTCCCTAGTTCCCAATATACATATCCACCATAAACCCTTAATCTAACCCTAAACTGCCCACTTCCAACTGCTAAACTACACGTTCAAAAAGACTAATCATATTACCAACAGATCTCAGATTCCTCAAACACTAAGCTGCCCAGCTAGAATAAGTTCACACATTTTTATATAACAGTAGGAGAGGACACCCTAATCATATGCGGAGTACTAGAAATCATTTACTGACGGAAAAAAATAAAAACAATAGCTTCTGAGCAAATGAGAAGCTGTAAGTTCAAAGGCTGAAACCTGGTGTTCATAAGTATAACTTGACACATAATGCAGAATAATTTCTCTTATCAGCTAAAGTTATTTCGCTTACCTCTCCCACACATCTAATTTTTAAGTTAAAAAAGGAACACAAATATATGGGAATGCTCTGAAAGTCTGAAGACAATAATGTTCAGTGTAGATCTCAAAAAGAGAAAAAGGGTATAATAATCCCTCTTTCATCCCACCAATCTATTGTCCAATTGGACAACCTCAATAACTGGATCTCAAATAGCATAACTTCTACAAGTATACTCTAATGATACCTAAGATAAGTGATTGAAAGACTCCAAAATGCCAATAAGAAAGTCCCTTCATTTATTGCTTGTTAGCACTCGGGAATGTGTAACTCATTTGAAGTTTTGAACTAGCAATAGGAATTGTCTTATCCACCCTCCAGACACTAAAAAAATTTTCATCAAATGATTCGAATCTTTAATAAAGCCTATCAACATGTTTTGAGACATACAACGATCATTACAAAAGAAAATTTAATATCTGCAAGAATACAACCTCAAAGTCCAGTCTATACTTTTAGTAGTTTGAAAAGCAACAATAAGAGCTAAATAGCAACCCAAAAGCCTTAGACAGCCAAAACTCAACGCCACTAAAAAGCGTAGGCATGGAAAATTAGTCACATCAACAGTTATCATGTAACAAATGTCTTAGCAACAAGTTCAAGAATAATTTTATGTCAACGAATGCGTCTCAGACCAAATTAACTAACCTAAAACCCTTCAGAACCCTTGCAAAGTTCAAGTACAAAAAGACAACAAAATTAACAGGAACACCTTAATATCATTAACAACCACAGTAAAGCAACATAATTGAGACACAAATACAATAATAACTCAGACAACTATATCTAAACTACTGTATGCAATTAATTTGCATTAAAAAAAAAAAGGGGGAATTTTACCAAAGGATACATTCAATACTTTGTTGAGAATTGTTAAGTTTAGACAACTTCTCAGATAATACATTACCATCAAACACATCATTACTCAGCCACAAAACATTACGGAGTGCTAATTTACATTTACTGAAAAAGTTAATGTTTCGATAAAAAACCAAAGTTCCAACAGTCTCCCGCAAGCAACAACAGTCTATGAATGTTAACACGTATATAATGTGTATACTACGGTATCATTGGCTATCAGCAGCAAATGAGCATAGTCGCATAGGTCTGACTAATTCCATCAACTTAACATAAAACGATATTGGATTAAAAAAATTTCAAGTTATCAACATTTCACAAATTACTTTTGAATGAGCACCAGGCCCGTCCCTAGCCAGGGCAAGCGGGGCGGCCGCCCTAGACCCGGGGAGAAAAGGTCCATTCTCATAGTTCCGTCCTACATTAAAGGATTAGAAACAACAGCCTCCAACACATTAGCAACCAAATTTAACTAAATTATCAAATTAGGCTCCAAAAATCACATTAAATCCTTCTCAATTTAGAATAACAACGTAAATAGCACATAGCAAAATTCTACCATAAAAACCCATTTTAAAATCTTTCATAACTTCAGAAATATAACCAATTGTTCAATAATCAACTCTAGATGAACCCTAACTTTAATATTGATAAACCCTAGATTGTAAAATTGATATTCAAGTGACTTTAAAAAAATTATAAGAGTTAATAGATAAATAAATTAGAAAAACATCTTACCTCAGAAGCTGTTTCAATGGAGGAGAAAAAGCTCAGAAGCACTTCAATGGAGAATTTAGACTTTAGAGTGCACGTATCAATGGAGGAGAGAGAGTGCAGTGTAAATCAGTAAATGTCAAAAAGGTTCGATGCTTGCTCTAGGATGGGGTGACTCGTTATGTTCGCAAATGTTTTGCACTAATTTTTATACGTGGTTAATATGTGGTTGCACTAATTTTTATACGTGGCCGGGGTTACTTAGGTCCTGTTTAGTTCACCTTATTTTTGCTTATTTGAACGTATTTGATTTGGTCTGATTTTGTCTTATCTGACATGATCTGATCTGGTCTAATTTTATTGTCTTATTTGACCAAACTTTGACCTTTAAATGTACGATAATTTGTAAAGAAAAAATATATCAAGTGGATCTTGTTAGATTCGTAATAATGTTTATTTTATTAATAGGTAACTTTCATAATTTTTTTCATTACGAAATTAAAGATATTTAGCGATAAAAAATTGCACATAAAACGATGATTTGATCTGAACTTATTTTTTCTAATTTGATCTGATCTGAACTTATTTTTTCTGAAATAAGTAAAAATAAGTTGAACTAAACAAGGCCTTATTATGGGATTACTTATTCAGGGGTTACTCGGTTGGTCAAGGGTACTTATAGGGGTTACTCGGTTAATCAGGGGTTACCCTTACACAGAAAACACGCTAACCGACTGATTAAATTTAGAATAAGTAACCCCTGGCCAATTTAGTAACCCCAAAATAAGTAACCCCGACAAAAACGCGCTAACCGATTGAGTAACCCCACAATAAGTAACTCTTGACCGACTTAGTAACCCCTAAATAAGTAACTCCTGAATAACTAGCACCTATAAGTAACCACTGAATAAATAACCTCAGCACACGGTGTGGCCAGTCACACTAAAAAATCACCATATGTTTTGTTGTTTAACTTTGCTCATTCTTAGCTGCATGCAAATTTTCAGAGATGTAGACTACTTTGATGTTAAATTAATTAAAGCCTCCTTCTCCCTTAATTAAAAATTTATCGACAGAACTACATTATATCAACGGTCATAACTTATTTCATCAAAGTTTCATCTAAAATTCTAAATAATGAGAAAATACAAGTTTATTTCCATGATAAATAAAATAGGGCAAAAAATTCTTTAAATGCAGAAGTTTTTTTTCTTAAAATAAATGGCAAAATTATAAATAAATCAACAACTTTTTGTTAAATATGAGTCTCATAATTGTTGATTTATTTAGCATGCTTATTGCACATTTTTATTGATTTATTTACGGTGTTAGATTTTGTTTATTAGGGTCATAAATTGGGACGTTCTCCTAAATAATATAAACACTCATAATCTATTTTCAAATGAGAAGCTTTTGTGTGAGACCGGACTCACTGTGAGCGTCCAATATATCTGACAATAATATTCTACTATCTAACATTAATATTCTAATATCTGACATAATATTTGACATTAATAATCTAATATCTGACATTAATAATATAATATCTAACATGAGAAATGACATTAATAATCTAATATCTGACATTAATAATCTACTATCTGACATTAATAATCTAATGCCAGATATTAGATTTTTAATGTCAACTATATTAGATTATTAATGTCATATAATAATGTCATATATTACAATATTATTGCAAGATATTAGATTATTATTGTCAGGTATATTGGACTCACCATGAGTCCGACTTGCCCAATTTTTTTTCGATTCTTATATATGGAGTGATACATGTACCACAGAAAATAAATAAAGCAATGTGGTAGGAAATATGGATTGTATTGGTGCCTTGTCTAATACGAATTAATGAGCGAGAGTCTTAAATTGGAATATTCAAGGTGGGAAAATCTAAGTGTAGACCAAATATTGTATTTGTTTAGAAACTTAAACAAACTCAATAAAGGCATAAAGCAAAAAAATCTTAAATGTCTTACACTTTGATAACAAATTCATTATTGAACCAATTAATCATGCAAGTGAAATTAGGGTTTGTTGGAAAATGACAATATAATTATTTGGCATTTGGAATTAAAAGATAGATGCGCTTATCTACATATAGCTTACAAACCTATAAATTAAGATTTACTAATTTCGGCATGTTCAAACAAGTGACAAAGACATCTTTTGAGAATTTTATAAAAAAAATTAAAAAAATAAAATTCAACTATCTTGAATGCTTATCATTGACTTTAGTTACGGTGATAAATTAGGAGATCGCTCTTTTGCAAGCTACCAACTTAAAATACTCCCTCGTTTCCTAAATGTAACAAATGCTAATGCATTTATTTTTTTCTTGATGATCCCTTCGCTCGGCTTTTTCCTGCTGTTGTTACTACACGAACCTCTTCTTTTCGTTACTCCGCTCACCTTCTTAGTGTACTGCTGGTAGCTAGCCACATAACTCACAAAACGTATGGCAAGCTATGGCGGATCGTGGGGGGGTTTCATCAAACAACATCTTGTTTCGGCATGTCTAAGCAGCCCATGCTAAGGTGGAGAAGATGCACAACTCTTGGCTTGGTAAATACTCACGCATATTAGCAAAAGTCTCCATAAAACTATCTCCTACTCGGTGTTGGGCATCCCTCCAAAAGCTGCAATGATCCCATATCCCACTTGCTGGGCTGCAGAAGAATAGAGCATGTAGTAGTGACTCATTCACGACATTGCAACGTTGACATGTACCCGAGCTGCTTATATGCCTTCTATGCAATTCATTACTCACTGCCAGGGTATTTATACAGGCACGCCACAGAAAATGTCGTAATTTTAGAGGGCCATTCAACCTCCAATAAATGCTACGCCATACCTCCTCACTTATTAAACTATTCATAGCTTCTCTTCCCAACATACCTACCCAATACCCTGACTTCACTGAATACGCTTCATTCGACGTCAAATTCCAGAATACCTCATCATGCCCTACATCCTTAAGCAACGGAATTGACAAAATTCTAGCAATATCCTCCTGCCTGAAGTGCAATGCCAATTCTTCCTCCTTCCAGCACCTTTTCTCAACATCAATTAAAGCAGCCACACAAAGGTCCCCATCATGAAGGCCATTAGGAGGGGGATCAAGTGTTTATGTTCTCCCATGGCTAGATATCCAGTTATCTCTCCAAACCCGGATACGCGACCCATCTCCTACTCTCCATTATAGCCCCTCCTTCGACAACGCCTTGGCTCCCCAAATACCTCTCCATGTATAGCTTGGGCAGTACCCTCTATAAGATTCTAGAAACTCTGTATTTTTTAAATACCTTGCTTTCAACACCTTATGAACCAGAGTGTCCTTTCCATGAAGTAAACGCCACCCATGCTTCGCCAAAAGAGCTTGATTAAAGACTTTGAGGTCTCTAAATCCCATACCCCCTTTAGCCTTCGGTAAACATAAATCCTCCCACCTTTTCCAGTGAAGCTTATTTTGTGTTCCATTTCCCCACCAAAACCGAGCTAGGATGCCACGAATTTCCTCCAACAAGCCATCCGGGATTTTAAAGATTCCCATTAAATACGTTAGAATTGCTTGTGCTACAGCTTTAATGAGAATCTCTTTCCGGCTCTTGACAGCAGTTTCTCCTTCCAACCCTGTAACTTCTTCCAGATTCGATCTTTTAGTCCTGCAAAGATAGCCTTTTTAGATTTCCCTATCACCGTCGGGATACCCAGGTACTTCTCATGCCTGTTTACTTGCTTAACACCCAATAGATTGCAAATGGCCTGTTTTCTTATATCTAGGACATTTCTACTGAAAACTGCTTCAGATTTTTGTAAACTAATTTTCTGCGCTGATGCACGTTCATGGAGGATACGAGCAATCTCCCTACATTCCGTATCAGTAGCCCGGGCAAGTAAAATACTGTCATCTGCAAAAAAACAAATGGGAGATACAGGGTGCTCCACTACATATCTTCACTCCATGAATAATACCTTCAGCCACTGCCTTCGACAATAGACAAGAAAATGCATCAGCAACCAACAAAAATAATTACGGAGATATAGGAACACCTTACCTGATACCTCGTTGAGGCTTAACATCTCCCACCAACTCACCATTCACCTTGAATTTAAAAGAGTAACAGGATAAGCAGTTCACAATTTTCTGGATCCACCTGACATCAAAACCCAGTTTAAGCATGATCTATTCAATAAAGCCCCACTCCACCTGATCATAATCCTTCATCATATCCAGCTTTAGTGCAATCGTACTATGTCTCCCCTCCCTCTTCCTTTTCATAGCATGAAACACTTTAAAAGCAATCAAGGCGTTATCAGTGATCTGTCTTCCCGAAACAAATGCACTCTGTTGGGGGGATATCATCTGCTGCAGCAAGGGTTTGAGACGATTTGCCAGGAATTTTGAAATGATTTTGTATAAGACATTACATAGACTAATTGGTCTATACTCGGTAATCTTTTTCGGATCATGACATTTAGGAATGAGTACAATACATGTTTTACTTACTTCCGAAATGTCCACAACACCATGCCACCAATTAATAATGTAATTCACAATATCATTTTTAACAATATGCCAAAATTTCTGGTAAAAGAGAGCATGCATACCGTTAATCCCAAGTGCCTTATTTGGGTGCATTTCAAAAAGAGCTATTTCAATCTCCTCTCCCGTTGGCTCCTTACACAACTCTTCATTCATTGTTGCCGTAATAGCCGGGCTAACTCCACCTTACGCCTCCTGCAAATCTGCTACGCTTTCGGATGTAAAAAGCAGGGAAAAATATTCCGTGATCATGTTATTGATACTCAGCTCGTCTTGGACCCATCTCCCACTCTGATTTTCAATACCCACGATCGAATTTTTTTGCTCTTCTTGCACTAGCTTTGTGATGAAAATAAGAGGTATTTTTATCCCCATCACGTAGTTCGTTATTCCTAGCTCTAGCATGCCAATAAGACTCCTCAAGTAAGTGAAGATTGTCAATCTCCTCCGATAGTTCCCTGCATTTAGCTAGCCTCACATTATCCATCGCCCCCACCTGAATTATCTTGAGTTGCTCCTCTGCATCCCGTATTCTCTTCGTGACACTACCAAAAGTTTTAGCAGCCCACTTGCCCAACTCATGTGCACAAGAGGCCACCTTGTCCATAGTATGGCGAAGAGTAGCATCATTCCATGAAGCCTTCACCAGTGTCTCGCATTCTGGGCTCGACAACCACATTGCCTCAAACCTGAAAAGCCTCTTTTTCCTCCTATTTTCCTCTCGTCGTCCAGCCTTCAAGAGTATAGGTGCATGATCCGATCGCTTTACTCTAATCGGGAAATGGATTACGTCATGGGCTAGGAACATATTGCGCCAAAAATTGCTTGCCAGAAATCTATCGAGCCGCTCTTGAACAAGAGTATCTTGGGACAGCCCACATTGCCAAGTATATTTATTCCCTTTGTATTGCAAGTCTCGAACTCCGATGCTATCAATAGCCTCTTGAAAACCATCCTCTCACTTCTCTAAACTCCTCCCAATTTCTCATCATCACTCAGAATCTCATTGAAGTCTCCAAAAAATATGACCCGATCTGGACACTCTTGCCTCAAATTCTTCATTAACAGCCATGTTTTATGCTTGTTTATACTTTTTGACCACCCATAAATGCCTATTTCCCTCCATTTCACCTCTTCATTATCGTCCAGCACATCCACTGCAATATGATTAGCTGAGTAAGACACCACTCGTACTCTAATATCTCTCCACCACATCCCTATACCACCTGACAAACCCGTACTACTTACCCCAATCTCCTCCACGTACCCACACTTCCTTCTCGCTCCCTCTAGCTTCTTGGCGTCGATCTTGGTTTCCATCACGAAAACCAGGTTCGGCATCTCTCTCCAGCACCACTCCCGGAGAGAGCTCACTGTCCGAGGGTTGCCAAGCCCTCGACAGTTCCAGCTAAGTATTTTCATTGTTGTTCGTGGGGTGAGCTTTTTTTACCCACCTCCGCTACTTTCTCAATTGCATGTTCCAGCTCCATACATTGTTGTGTCCTGCTCTTTTTCTTTACAGCCTCCTCCTTTTCAGCTTCCCCTCCATCCACCTCCATCTCATCAGGGACTTTCCTCTTTTCTCCCATCATTCCTGACATAAGAGATTCTTCTTCTCTCCGAATAGGGGCGTCGTTTCTACTCATTATTTGGGACTTTTGAGCATTCTTTGCAGCGCCTCTTTTCCTCACTCCCGTTTTTTTCCTCCTTTCACTCGTCATTTTACCCATATTAAATTGGGTAGGAGCGAGCCTCTTCTAGATTATTAATCCCATCAATTTCATGCATATTATTCAACAATAATCCCACGTAGCCCCCTTGGCTTATCTCATTACTACTCTCTTTCACCTTATCATGCAATTCCCCATATATTTTCCCCCCTTCTTCCCCTGCTCCCCTTTTCCTATACACCTCCATTGCCTTCATCTTTCCTTGCATGACCTCCTCCCGTAGAACATGAAAATCCTCCCTTATCTCATCAGCTGTATTCATGTTTCCATCCTCGTTCTCCTTACATTCTTGCGTTCCTACCTCCCCAGCCCTCCTTCTTAACTGCCCACTATGTTTTCCTGTTATTGAGTGCATACCTCCCTCCTTCTCAACCACCCCCTTCTCCTTAATATGATGAAGAACCTCATTCTCGGTACTATATAATGCTTCTGTCTTCGGTGTGAAAGTCAATCTCTTCCCAGTTAACAGCTCTCTCACCTCCATACCCTCCTAGTTTTTACCCTTCATCGGTGACGCCTTTAACCAAGCTCCCCACCCATGGCCTTGCTCATTCGAATCATCAGACACCAAGAGACAATCCCTCTCACTATGCCCCATTGTCCCACACGAAAAACAAAAGAACGGTAATCTTTCATACTTCAGATTTATTCTAATCACATTACCTTCTTTCGTACGTAGGGTTTGATATCTTTTCAGGGGTTTTTGCACATCCAACATGACCTTCACTCGACGACTTTTGCATATGGCTACTGAATCTTCTTCAATTTCAATTACGTCGCCTAACTTCGATGCTATCATATTAACATGACTATTAGTACGACAGTCAAACGACAAGTCTTTAATTCTCACCCAGAATGGTGAAAAGTTTAGATTCACATCACGCGACTGTTCTCCTCTAGAAATCTCATTGAGAATCAGCAGATTATGCTCGAAACACCAAGGTCTACCCATCATTACTCTCTCCTTATCCTTCCAGTGAAGAAATTGGAACCATAGAGGTTTGCCCCGGCCAATACAACGAATGATAACTCGCCCCTTCAATGCCCAAGATTGGGTGATAGTGCGTTTGAAAGCTTCTACATTAATGCCTCTATCAGTTAACAGTCTTCCGATCAACATCAACGAAACCCTAAGTTCTTCTCCATTCGTTTCTATTTCTCCTATATCAATAACTTCCTCCTCTTCTGAATTAATTTTAAGTGACGCACACTGGTTGATTAGATCATCAGCCATCGTTACCGGACACCGCAACGCAGTTGTCGCGGTGGAATTTCCTTTCTCGCAAGGTGGGTTTTCCTCTCTCTCAAGGTAGGGTTCCCTCTCTTTCAAGGGGGTAGCAAAAGTTGCTAATGCATTTATTTGGAAACAACACAATCTACAAAAAAAAGAAAAAGATTAATAGAGTAATCGGAACTTAATTATAAATTTATGAAAATATTTCCTAGTATAGAGTAGAGCTTCTTATGGTATATTCACCGCAACTGATCACACTTCTTTAGTTTTTTATTCACATTTCAGTTAGCAAAATTATGACCCTCGCTTAATTTGCTTTTAAAATCTTTGGACGTTATAAGAAGAATTTCACTCTAGTGTGAAAAAAGTTTGACATACTCTTGTTTAGGGTAAAAATTACCCTAGACACGTGGCCCAATGGGCTGGTGACACGTGGCGCATCGCCATTAGTCAACAGGGCTCCAATCCCCTGTTGACACGTGTCCTTGGTACCCTACATAGGGGACTTATCTGTCCCACTATAAATAGTGGGACAAACCTCATTAATGGGGCATTCACAAATACAAACACTATTACCGAGCAATATTAATTGCGGAATTCTCCCAATCAGCGAGAAGAACTTTACCTATTCCGTATTCTTTCCTCCTGTACGTATACTAACTTGATCGTCGGAGGCGAAGCTCCTACCAACCAGAGTCTTCGTGATCTTGCAGGTACAGGCATCGGCAGCTCAGTCTTGGAATCGTAACTCTCCCGCAGGACACCTCAAAATACCCCGAAACATTGGCGCCGTCTGTGGGGAGGGTACTTCCAAGATGACTTCTGATACTGTACCATCGAATCTGGACAAACGGCCCTTGGCCGAGCCGGAGGTCCTGACGGACCATGAAAGTGGTGACGGCTATGAAATCGACACCTTTGTGGCCCCAGACGGGTCCTTTAGAACAAAACGCACCCGTTCTAAAGAAATGAAGGAACGAGGTGAGAATCAAGCTGCTCCCAACAACACAACCGGTATGCCGGTTGGGGATGCCCAGGCAGCAGCGGGATTTGCTCCCGTCACGAGAAACGAACTCATGACTTTCATGAATAGTTTCAAAGGCGAGATAAAGAATCTCATCCGGTCAGCCACCCCCCAGAAGGGTCAGCCGGCCAAGAAGCCTTCATCCTCTGGGAAGAAGGTTGTGAAGGATCGTGTGCCCACTCCTCATTCCAAGCCCAAGGTGGGGGAGGGCCCCAGATCGACTTAAATAGGCTCCGCTTCCCTCAAGTGGAGCACAGAAAAGCCATCCGGCACTTACAGCCGGATGGATCCAAGAAAACCTTCTCTGATGCCCAGACGTTTCTCTAGGAGAAGAGAAATCAGCAGCTGTCTGCGTCAGCCTCAACATCGACCTTCCTTGACAGTCTCCGCAGTGTCTCTGTCAGACACTCGGAAACAGACCAAGCGGGTCAGTCTCGCGAACCCTCCGCGCGATCTGGTCCCAAAGTGATCCAGCCGGGACAATATGGTCTGCCATATGTACCGGGTGGATCCCCTTTTTCTGCACCAGGCCTCTTTGGGGGTCATGGGCAGCAGCCGTTCCAACCCACGGATTGGCAGCTGCGTCTGCTAAATTTGGGAGAACAGCCTACGGCGTTCTCGCTAGATATAACCCAGGCGGCACAACCGCCCAAGGTTAAGAATGTGTTGGTAGGTGCCTATGATGGCACCTCCGATCCGGAAGACCACCTAATGGCATACTCCAACCTCATGTATCTACAGGGGTTGGATGACGCCTAGGGGTGAGCATGGATCGGATATCCGAAAATTCCGATATTTGATATCCGTATACGATCCAAAATTTTCGGATATCCGAATATCCGGATATCCGAAAATTTCGGATCGGATAGTTCGGATATCCAATACCCGACCCTTATAATAATATGGTTTTTTAACCAGAATATTGTTAAAATACTAGTTTAATAGCATAATTTATTTTGTTTTTAAAGGCAAATTAATAAATATTAAATTTTAAACAATCAATTTTAGGCCTAATCTGAATTCTAATTAAAAGACAAAAAAACCAAATAAAATTCTAATTGCACTACTGAACATTGGTTCAACGTCCACAAAGTACTGATAATTGCATCCGATATAAGATAAATCAAAGAACAAGACAAATTGCCTTCCATATCTTACAAATTACGCCAAAATTCCAAAATCAAGCTGATATAACCCAAAAAAAACTCAAACGAACCAATTTTTTGTGGACGTTAATCGAAAATAAAAATCAAAGTACCTAGAAAATTGTAAGACTTATATACAGAACAAATCATTCAAAACAAAATTAAATGAACAAAATAATCAGAAAAAAGTGTAGATCTGGAGTGAGGCGAAGTCGCGATAGTTGAGACGATGAGTTTTCGATTGTGAGCATGAACGACGCGAAGGTTGAGTGAAATTTCTGGAGTTCAGGTAATCGATCTGAGAGATTAAAAATGAGAGATATATTGGTAGGGAAGAGATGGTGGGGGTCTTAGTTGTTGAGTGATTTTGGGGAAATATTAGGGAATGGGATTTTGAAGAGGAAGGAGGAGATCTGATAGAGAGGGAATGGGGTTTTAAGTCTTATGAAATCTGAGAGGAGATGGAGAAGATAGAGAGAGGAGAGAGGAGAGAGAAAGAGAGAGGCAGTGGGGGTGTGTTTTGAGGAAAGAAGTTAGGGTTATTGGGTCTTCTAGAATACACGTAAGTATAAGAAAGGAAATATAATACTCTGTACGAAGTAAAGTAAGTGATTTTTTTCGGATAATTTCGAATATCGGATATCCGAAATCCAATATTTGGATATCCGATATCCGATCCGATATCCGAATTTTTCGGATCGGATATCCGATCCAAAATTTATTTCGGATCGGATATCCATAATTTTCAGATCGAATGCGAATCGGATCATCGGATTTTCAGATAGTTTTGCTCAGCCCTAATGACGCCGCCTGGTGTCGATGCTTCCCGGCGACCCTGAAGGGCATTGCCCAACGGTGGTTTGGTAACCTACCAGTCGGATGCATAAAAAACTTCAGAACTCTGGTGTACTTATTTACGTCAAACTTCTCAATGAACATCCCTGCCAAAAAGACTAGCCTTGATCTTCGGGCAATACAACAGGGTGAGAAGGAAGGACTCCGGTCCTATGTCAGGCAGTTCAATCTGATGAGAATTTAGATTCAAGGGCTGTCTGACGAAGTTGCTTACATAGACTTCTTCAAGGGTCTGAAGGATGGGTCGACCTTCAAGTTCGACCTCGTCCGGAAATGGGTAGCCACCCTCCAAGAGGCATTAATGGAAGCAGAAGCCTATATACAGGCGACGGAGCTTTGTGCTGTAAAGCAACCGTCATATTTCAAAAAATCTGACAGAAAAGATAACCGGCCACAGCCGCCGGCAAAAAAGGAAGACAAAAGAAAAGGAATCTGGGCGGCAGACCGGTCTGGTCAGCCGACCCAGAAGGCAAGAAGAAAATCTGAACCGCACGTCCCCAAGTACGAGTTCACAAAGGACTGCTCCTCCATTCTCATGGAAATCAAGGATCGGTTGTCCCTCCAGAAACCGGCCGCCATGAAAAGTCCCGCCAACAGCCGGGATAACAGCAAGTACTGCCAATACCATGAGGATGTTGGCCATGACACTAATGGCTGCTACAGCCTCAGGCGGCTGTTAGACCGTCTAGCTGACGAGGGAGCTCTAAAGTCCTACCTGCCAAAGCCCAAAGGCAACCCCAAAACAAGCAAGGGGCAAGCGGCAAAACCCGGCCCTGCTAACTCCAAAACGGATGAAGAGACAGTCTTCACAATAGCAGGCGGTTTTTCCGGTGGAGGCCCAACCATCCGGGGTACAAAAGACAACATCCGGAAGCTAGTCAACTTAGTGGATGAGGGCCAGGCGTCGAAAGACACCTTTCCCGAGGTCCTTATTTCTGAAAGGGACCGGGGCAAGGTCAGACGGCCTCACGATGACCCCATTGTCATCGAATGCAAGGTTGCCAACCAGAAGGTTGGCCGGATCTTAATAGGTACCGGGAGCTCGTCTGACCTAATCAGCTATCAGTGCTTGACAAAGCTCAAGTACAAGCCCACTAGCATGCAACAGGCGCCTCACCCCTTAGTCGGTTTTGGGGGAGGAGTGGTGCATCCGGTAGGAAGCATTAACCTTCCTATCCGGTTGGGTGAAAAGGGGCAAGGACGCCACATGGTCGTCAATTTCTTAGTTGTGGAGGAACTGACTGCCTACAACATGATATTTGGCCGTCCGACCCTCTACGAATTTAAGGCTGTCATCATCCCGTCTCTCATGCTGGTCAAATTTGAGAAGGATGATGGTACAGTCGATTCCTTAAACGGGGACCAGAAGACGGCTAGGGAGTGCTATCTCTCTGACGTCAAACCAACTATGGGTACAGCCGGCCAAGGTGAGCCCATAGATGTTGATAACTGCGATCCGACAGTCCCGGCTCCAAGGGCAGCCGGTAGGAAAAGGAAGGCGGACCAACTGGCACCCTAAAAAAAAAAACAATAGCAATCACTTGCCGGAGAAAGGTCGGATGAATTTCGACCCTAACCGGCAGGTGAGAGCGTTGATGTCGTCCTAGATGACAACCGGCCCAATAGAACCGTCAAGGTTGGGACGGTTGCTTTTAAAGTGTTGGGGGCAGATTTGCTCCAACTGCTGAAGGAATTCAAAGACATTTTTGCCTTTGAAGTGGAAGAGATGCCCCGGATCTAGTTGTCCAAAAACTCGCCGTGGATCCAAAAAAGAAGCTGGTTAGGCAGAAAAAGAGATCATGGCGAGGAGAGATCTCAGGCGGCAGCCGCCGAGGTCAAGAAGCTGTTAGATGCTGGGTTCATTCGGCAATGCTACTACTCGGATTGGGTAGCAAATGTTGTCCTGGTTAAAAAGCCGAATGGAACTTGGCGGATGTGTGTAGACTACACAGATTTGAACAGAGCATGTCCAAAGG